AAGATGACAAGGGCTGAGGGCTGCCCTTCGCTGAATTTCAGCATTAATGGAAAGCTTTATCAAGCAGCAGTGCTCTGTACAAGCTGCCGCTTTTGGTAGCCTTATCAAGGCTCTGATAATGGCATATCTAATCTAAACCAATATGAACGGGTGCTTGCATGTCTACAGCTTGGAAGTTCCAGCTTGGAAGTTACAGCTTGGAGGCAGCCAGCCTTCAGGAGAGGGCCACAGCTGTTTTAAGAAGAGAAAAATCTGGGAAAAGTGCCATATTTCATCTCAGTGCTGTCTTGGTAATGCAGCACAATGAAAACCTGGTGGAATCCAAGAGGGACAGGGAGTTCACGGCGGCAGCGGCATCTTTTCCCATCCAACCTTTTGAAGCAACGCAGCCATGTGGCCTGCTGAAGAAACCTTTGTTCCTCAAGGTTAAAAATAATCAGACCAAAGATGTGAAAATTAGGCAGCAGGCCAAGTTCCCAGGTACAAGCACAGCAGAAATAGGGATGACCCAAGAAATGATATGGGTTGAGACAGACGGAAGCCCACCGGGGGATCTGTGATTGGCAAGCTTGTGACCAAGCTCTTGAAAAAATGGCTAGGGGTTTTGGGGTGTGCAACTGGACCTGCATTAGAGAAATCCATGACTGAATCCACAAAAGCCCTGGCTTGTAGCCTTTCATATCTGGGCTAAGAAAATCCTAGCATAGAGCCCAGTCCTAGCTTCCCAAAGCACTGAGGTGAAACCAAAGGCTTCACAAAGTCTGGGGAGTCACTGGTGGGATAGGTAAGAAGAACGAGAGAGGAGGTAGAGGCGAGGTGCATGAAGGTATTCCCAGACCTCCACAAGGCTGCCAGGTACCCCATCCTGGGCTACGGCAAAGTGCCTCTCCCCAAGCAGTGCTTTGGCTGTAAAGTCCTTTTTGTAGTTCAGAGCTTAAATAAGAGGTTTATTTGCAACTGGAGGAGGCAGAGAAGGATTTTTGCTGTGGGAGCCCTGAGACTCAAAACCCTGTTCCCCACCATAATGTCCAAATTGTCAAGAAGCAGTGCACGTAGCAGGGAGGTTTTCCAGCGCCCTGGCAGACCCTGAGTGAAAATGGGAGCTGGAACCAGGAATCCCAGGGAAGGGTTGAGGGAAGGTGATAACAGCCTGCAACTGCTCCATTGGCATCTACAGAGATGACAGGGACAAACTCATCTTGATGATGGCAGATGTTATAACATGAGGCATCAGCCAAAAATTGCACTTTGGGAAGTTGGGTTGAACACCTCTTCTTCAAGAGGTGGGTGGTGCTGCCCCAGGACGGGTACCCAGAAGGTCAGAGGAGGTGGGTTTTGAGATTTGGCCAAAGCCATGACTGAGGTGATTGGGTGTTGGCAATGCTCTTGCTTTGAGCAGGAGGTTTAACCAGAGACCTTCAGAGGTCCCTCTGAATTGGCATTTCTCTAATTCATCACCTTGGGACACAGAGCGTTCGGATACCTCCATGGCTAGGAGGGAGCTGAGAAGTTTTGCGTGTCCATATCTTTGATTCAGTTGCAAAAAGCAGAAACGAGACACTTGTGTCCTTTTTTCTAACAAGCTTCTAAGATCCTATGCTTTATTTTCAAAGCAACTTAAACACAAAAGCACCTGCAGGCTTCCCACAACACATAGCTTCCTCAATATTTTTTGAAAGTGATCCATGTCTTTTCTCTTTCCACAAACCAGGTCCAGATGTTAGGGTATGGATTTAGTTTTAATCAAATGGTCAACTGACCCAGCCTTGTGTTAACGCAAATCATGTGCATTTTCTTGGCCCTGGAAAGTGAGAGTGACGTCATGTTTTAAAAGATCTTGTATTCTGGTGGGGAGATGTACAAGTATTCTGAACTTTGCTATTGAGATTAAGTTTATCTCACCTGCCGTTTGCTGAGCAGGCCTGGCTAGATAATAATTACCCTGGCCAAATTTAATTCAGTGAGGGTTTCTTCTTCTTTTTTTATAAGAACTTCTGCATTTCTTTACTAGGGGAAATAAAAGAACACAAGTCCAACAGAACACTTGCAGACAAAACAAAGAGGTTTTATTTTTGATAACTGATCAAAAATCAGTTGGCTGCATTTCTAAACTTCCCAGCAGTGATCCATAGTCCACACTTACCCAACACACCCAAGCTGGGAGTATAGATAGGTTAAATCTATCAACAACAAGTAGAAGAGGAGAGGATACCTGCAGAAAACAACTTGGGTCCTGAATGAGGTGAATTGTCTCATGAGTTGTCCATTTCTGACAACCACTTGAACAATTTCTGCCCAATTACAAAGAGACTCCTGAACAATTATATTCCCCTTTTAACTTTTCGTGGGTGACATCCAGACCTTAGGAGCCTGGCCTGCTCAGGGGAAGTTCTCACTCAATTTCTGGTGGTTTTCTGAGTGGTTTATCTGTCCAGATTAGGCATGATAACCCTTTAAAAGTTTGTGAGACAAAACTTGGTGGGCTTTTTCGAATCTTATCTTACGCTCAGGTCTCATTAGCTTGGTGGTTGTGTCTCCTTTCAAGCTGGCATGGGTCATCCAGGGAGACTGTAGGACTGGGAAGTCTGTGGTGGCTGAGATGTCAGGCTTCCTCGGGTGTTCCTTCAAGCACCTAAGATTGGATTCATCTTGGATAATAGGAAACATTTACAAATATCCCTAGACCTGTAGGCTTCTTTTGGAGAGGCTGGAGGGGGATAGGCAGCCCTGGAACACTACTCATGATGTGTTTCTCCTATTTCTCTCCTTTGGCTTATCTAGACATCATCTCAGAGGTACTCATTGCACTGGGTGTGGCTGAGGTTACCTGAGAAAGGTTTCTCCTTATTGACTTAGTGGCTACCGCTTCTCCCTAGCCTGCACGTGGAAATGGGTGACAACTGGGCATCCCTCCCAGCAGTGGGATGTGGTCAGACGTGGCTCGGCTGGGAGAGCATCTCACTGAAAAATGAATGAAAACCACAACTCCAGGATGCTGTGGTTGACGATGGTGGGGGAAAAATGAGCTGCACAGAGCTGGAGCTTTCCCATGGTGATCAGCCCACAGTGCATTGGGAGTGCTGGGCTCCTAAATGAGTTAGATATAGATAGAAAAATACTCAGATTTTTTTTCAAGTCCCAATCTCTCTCCCCATCATGCAAAGAGAGGGGACCTGAATTGCCTGGAGGAGCAGTCAGAGGTCCAGGGAATGAATGTGTGGGAAGCACACGTGTGCTTCCAGCTGGTCCATGGCTGGAGGACATTGACTGGTGGGAGGAAAAGACCGGCCAGCTCCGGCTGCTGCCAGGACCCAGCTAGAGAGGTCAGTCACCGCTGTCCCCATGAAGAAAACACTGAAAAGGGACATGTGGCAGCGCAGCTCCGCATGACCCTGCGGTATTCACCTGGGGCAGGGGTAAAAATGAAATGCAATTCCTAAGGTGATGTCATTCTTGTTGGGAAGCTGGGGATAAAAGGCAAAAAACCTGAGAAGCTGTTTGGAGAAATTGCTGATTCAACCCACCCCCCGTGAGTGCTCTCTGAACCTGCCTGCCCCCCCCATGATGTGGAAGGGTGATGTCCCCTATGGACACCCTCCTCAGCCAACTTCACCCACCACCCACCCCACCAGCAGAGCTTTTCCCTCTCCTGCCTCATCAGGCAGACACTGCTGGTACTAATTAACCAGAAACTGAGGCTGAATCTAGCCTGGGCAGCATCACTGCGCATCACTGCAGCACAGAGAGCAGAGGCGGACGGCAGCCCCGGGCTGAGCTTGCAGGAGCAGGAGGGGTGGCTGCAGAGGGCTCTGACAGCATCTCCAAGTTGGAAGGAGACGGGTTTGTGTTTTTTCATGCTTACCCATGATTTCACTTAAAAAAAGGCTGAAGATGCTATGAGAAGGCAGAATGGAAGAATTGCAAAGAGGAGAAGCCATGTGAGTGAAAAGCAGGAAAATCCCTGAGCTGGTGACTTTGGGAGGGAGGAGGAATTCATTGGAGCAGATGATGAGATGGGAGCAAGCTGAGCCTGGGAGTCCAGACCCAGAGGATGGATGCGTAGATGCCGTGCAGCATCCCAGGACACTCAGCCAAGGGGATCACGCTGGGAAAGGAGCCCAGCCCTGAGTCCTGCATTAGAGGGAGGAATTAGGCTCAGCTTGGAGGCTGATGCTGGCCCTACTTCTGATATGGCACTTGGGAGACATGCAGCTCCAAGGGCTGAAATGCTCCTTTAGAACATGAGTGATTGTGGTTCCCCTGGGGAAAGGAGAGGAAAGGGGGTTTTAGTGATGGCTCCCAGCAATAGTCTTGGTAGATCACTAAAGACATCAGTCCATCTATCCACACGAAACCCCTTTCTTGGAGGGAAGGCCATAGTGATGGAGTCTTCAGGATGGGCCAGTTCAAGCCCAGAAATTTAGTTTAAGTTGTGTTTTCTTCCTTAGGGGACAATGATGATTTTTGTGACTACTGCTAGATCTGGGTTACACCAAAACCCACCATTACAGAGGACCGTGAGGCATCTGAAGGAGTGAGCAAGTCAGTCCATGCCAGCACGCAGCTGCTACTCTTGATGCCAGTGCTAAAGACCCAGCGTGCACACATCAGTGAGTAGAAACCTCACCAGCATCAGCTGCAGGGGACACCATAGTCTTTCACCACTTTCTCCTCTTCGAGATGTGTGCTTCCAGACTGCAAGATGATTAGGTGATTTGGTTCATTCCTCTGATGATTAATTTCTTCGTACAATTATTTTTTCTATCATTTGTTTATGGATGTCACATTGCTACCTCCATAAAATGGGTTTATAGGATTTTCCCTGCCCCCATGTTGTAAATCGAGGTCTGTAAAATGTAAAGGAATTTATCACTGATCATTGCCCGGTTTTATGTTAATGTTTGAACACCGCCATAAAAGAATTACATCATTGTACCTCTGACCAACTTTTTAGGCAAAAGGACCTTATAAAACCAAGTACTGCTTACCAGTAAGGTATCTTCTCTTGTGTTGGGAGCACAGAGAGCCTTTCGATCATGAGCTTCACTGGAAAGTACGAACTCCAGTCCCAGGAAAATTTTGAGCCTTTTATGAAAGCCCTTGGTAAGTGTCTTCATGTGCTATGTGCTGCTTTGCCTCCACAGATCCCACTGATATTTGGGAGTCCAATTGTGCTGATGATGCAGATTGAAAATATCTCTGACTTCCTATTTCTATCTGTCATCTTGCAATTATTGGGGTTTTTTAAATGCGTGTGCATGGAGATAGGATCTCAAAATAGAAGAGAAAGCATCTCTCTGGCTGGTGGCTGGAGGTCAAGAGATGCTGGGTGAAATTTTATGGCTTGCAGCAGGCTCTGCAGCAGAGTGCTGCACACATGTGATAAGGCAGCAGGACCTTGGTGGCTTAGGGTGACCGCAGATCTGCTCCATCAGGCTGTCAAATGGCAAGCAGGACATCGCTCAGCCCACCGTGCTGCTGCTCGGCGATGCTGCAAAACCCAAAATTCCACCATTCATCAGAAAATTAGTCGGGGTTGTTTAAATGCTTAATGATGAATGTGGCTAGCTACATTTCCACCAGCATCTGTACCAGGAATCATGCTCCTGCAGGGATTCAGGAGGCTTTGCACTACTTCTACACAGTTATGTGCCCAAGGGGCTCTACCTGTCACAGCAGCTTCAGGCTTTGGGAGAAGACTTTAGTGAGCTGGTTGTGAAGGACCTTGAATCTCAGAAAAAAAAATACTTGGTTACCTCATTCTATCTTGATTTATCCCATTTTCTCTGCCTGCCTCTCAGTGAAGGAAGGAAAACAGGATTTTAGCTTATGCTTAGCCAGGGAGGTAGCTGTTCTGCTCCCAGCCAGGTCAGTGAGACAAGGCAGATGTCTAGCTCCCACACCAAACCCAGGATGACAGTGTTTGTTATTCTTCCTCCGCAGCAGACTCAGGGCCATGTGGCCTTTGGGGTATCATGGTCATTGCAAGGTTTTTCCACACTGGAATAGAAATTCTCCCAGCTATGGGTCCCCAAATCCTGCCACATTCATTCGGCAGCAGCAGTCTGTCCACCAATGGCCCCAAGGTCCACCTAACACCTCTTGTTCTGGGCAGGGCTTCCCGATGACCAGATCCAGAAGGGCAAGGACATCAAGAGCATCTCAGAAATCGTGCAGGATGGGAACAAGTTCAAGGTCACAGTGACCACTGGCTCCAAAGTGATGCACAACGAATTCACCATTGGGGAGGAGTGCGAGATCGAGACGCTGACGGGAGAGAAAATCAAGGTGAGTGATCAGCTCCTCCTCTGCCAGGGATGCGGGGGCTCAGGGACATTAAATTTCCTTTCCAGCCGTTCCCTCTGCACTTGAGCAAGAGAATGATAAGACCATGGGTGTTAAAGCTGACACAGGGAAAAGACCTGGTTAATTCCCCAGCCCGGTCTCCGTCTCTCAGTTTGCATGCATGATTTAATACAATGGGAAGGGACTAATTGCTGAAAGCAAGGCTGCAGATGTGACACCCGCTGCCCTGCTCCCTGCAGGTTCTCAGCAAGTCTCTTAGGGACGCATTTCCAAAAATGACAGTCCATTTCTGTGGCACCTTCCTGAGAAACTCAGAGCCAGAGACCCTGAAGTTCCCACCACCCCTCTTTGCTTTTACCAAACAAGTTCTCCGATCAGCACTTCTGCAGATAAAGCCTTGTGTTTTTAAAGCTATTTTAATAGCGAGTTTGGAAAACTCTGGAAGGCAGTGTTTTAATAGCCCATTTGGAAAAGGAGGATAGAGATGCTGTGGCAAATTTTTACGACAGCAAAAGGTCTGAAAGATTTGAGGTGGAAAAGGGTTGACCTTCAGTCATGTTGCAACACAAAACATACCCCCACCTTCATTTTGTTGACTTAAAGGTAGTGTAGGAAAATCAGCCGATGAATCACAAACCAATAAATCTCTCCTTTTAAATCCCAGTGGCTGTTAGTTCCTCTGCTAGCCTTTTCCACACTGCTTCTGTTTACACTGGGTGAGATGATTTGGCAAGGTGAGGATTTATCATCCTTGAAATTGGGTCATCTCCCGTTCCTGGACATTAGTTTCCAATGGTTCATAAAATGTCAAGACAACGCCATTGGCAAATATTGCCTCTCACCTCTACCTCAGGAGAAGATAATATTGCAGAGACTTTTGAAAGCAGAAAGGATGATCACCAAAGAAATACCCCAGTGAATGGAGCTCTGAGAGCTGTACCTGCTGTATCACAACTTCCAGCATCACTGAAGTTCCTTGAGCATTAACTAGGGGGAAAATGCTATTAGAAGAGTTTTACCCTCCATAAATCAGAAACTCCAGGGCAGATGAACATGTCTTCAAAATGCTATTAGAAGAGTTTTACCTTCCATAAACCAGAAACTCCAGGGCAGATGAACATGTCTTACCGACAGACAGACAAACAGAAAAGGGTTTTGCTGGGTTATTTATCTGAGTAATTTCAATAATCAGTGACAGCTGCCCTGGGGGTGCTGGTGCTGTCTGCAGCCTTTTTCGAAGTGCAGCTCTCAGGAAGCAGAGGCTCAGCAGTTGTGCTTGACCCTTTGAGACCTTTCCAGCCATGACTGAGTTTCTGAAAGCTCCTTAAATAGTTTCCCACCTTGACCAAGACTCCCCCCAGCCTCATGCTGTTGCCCAGCTCCCCATCACGCCACCTGAAAGGAGGTTGCTGCAACAATGTGCAATAGGTGGGTGGTGGAGAGGAGACAACGTGGCATGCCCTGGCCCAGCTCAGGTGGCTCTGCAGTCCTCTCCTTGGAGGTGTTCAGCTCCTTTTGGTCTGGGTGCTGCATGAGGAGCTGCCCCAAGGAGCATCAGGGCTGCATGGAGGCACTAGCATTGGCAGGGTGAATAGTCTTCCTTCCTCTCCCCCAAAACTCATGTGTTGCTGGGATGCCAAGGGGTGCCAAGGATCCCTGCTCTGGCATCTAACAGTGTGGGAGCCATAAATGAGTCTCAATTTGAAGGGGGGAGAGGTAGATATGGCAGCAAAATCACATCCCTCCAGAGGCCAAAGCCAAAATCCATACCCTTGTTGTGCTGTAGTTACCACCAGCACAACCCTCTCTCCTCCTCCTCCCAGGAAAGACAAAATCACCAGGGGAGCAGCTTGCTCCAAACAGGTTGCAGAAGGAATGGTGGCAACTCAGTATAGAAGGGGAAGGACAAAATGCAGGGGTTGAGATGGTCTCCAGCAATAACATGAATGTCTCTGTCTCCTCCTACCAGGCTATTGTTCAACTGGAGGGTAACAACAGACTGGTTGCAAACATGAAAGGGCTGAAATCCGTCACTGAACTCAACGGAGACACCATCACCCATGTAAGTGTAGAAGAGAAGGGCAATGGCTGCAGTAATGCTGCATACAGCTGCCTTCAGGGGTCTGGCCCTAGGAAGCCGACAGAGATGCTGGGGACCTTAGGGAGCTGCTGGAGATGAGCACGTGCTTACACTCAGGCTCTGCAGCCAAAGTTGATCAGTTGGCCAGGCACTGAAGGCAGTTTTTCATTACAATCCGATCCAAAAAGTACTCTTTAAGACCCCAGTAGGCATTGCTGATCAAAGTTTCATGTAATGAGGGCATGTCCTCACCCACCCAGAGGTATAGGTATGTGTCTGGGCCCGGCATTTCTAAAGAAGAGAGGTGCAGCAGATTGATCCCAGTTGAGGGATGCCAGGTTATCCCTACCTGCTTTGGGGTATTCATGAAGAAATCCAAAGCTTTAATAATTCCGTTTATAGAATATAGACTGAGGACCAGTCCTGTTTTGATTTGCAAGACCAGATCCTTTCCAAGTAAAATCTGGAGCCAGGCACCATGAAAAGCTAACACTCTCCATTTGTTTTTCAGACAATGACCATGGGAGACCTTACCTACAAGAGAATTAGCAAGAGAATCTAGAAACCCTCACACTCCAATCATTTTACTGTGTAAAATGTGTTCATTAAAGTAAAATTTGTATTAAAGGCCTCTTCATTGTCATCAGTCTCTACCCTGTTTCTATAAAGAGATGCAAGCCTCCAAAAACTGATGCAAGCCTCCAAAAACTGATGCAAGCCCTGGTAGGAATTAGACCACAGGCTGAGCCAAGGCTGTGCTGATGTTGGTGAATGGAGCCAGGCTAGGGCGCAGGCTCAGAGCCATTGAGTGACCCTCTGAGATGTGCTCCATACTGATCAGTGCTCTTCCAGCCCCTTCCTGGGGACAGGTGCCAGCATCCTGCTGGCGATGTCCCGGTGGGTCATGTCCCCACGGCTGCTCTGACTGGGTGGATGAAGGAGCACTGGGCAAGGAAAGGGCTCTGTTCCTTTTCCTTACAAACATGGCCAAAGTAACCACAAGGTGACTGGCAGGGCCAAAGGATGGGGTGGTTTAGGTGGGCTCAAGGAAATGTCAGTCATCCTGCCTGGAAAGCTGCCATCAGGAAGCAACAAGTATGGGGGCAGTTCAGCTGTCCCAACTGACATCTTCATCCTCACACCTCTGCAACAGGATCCAGACCCACAGGGTCTGGCCACCCCATCCTTATCTCCTCCCCATCCCTTCCCACCAGCAGGAGGGCCCCAGAGAGCCTTCGTGTGTCCAGTGTGTGTTTCACCCCAAACCACACCTGATAAATTGGGTTGAACTGGAATTGAACACTTCTTCCAGGGTGAAATACAAGTTTTTTCTTGTGGCAGTACATGGGCACTGGTTGTTCACAGTGTAGACACAGAAGGAGCACCAAAGTCATCTCCCATGCTCTCTGTTGGTGCTGCAGGCTGGATGGAGATGTGGTTTTCTGATGCACACAGGAGAGCAAATTCTTCCTTCTTAGCTGCCTTTTCCAAGGCCTGTGCTTGGATGACAACTGGGAAATGGGAATATGGAGGGTGTGATACACCTACCTGGGATGATGCCCTTACAAACGCTCAAAGCTGATCAGAATGTTAGGAAAACACCACAAGTGCCTCCTCACCTCCGCCTGCAACCCCAACACGTGCCACTAAAGGACCAATTTGTCCTCATGTGCATGTCTCCCACATCTCCTCTCTCCTCAGGGAAGGTTTTCATGTTACAGCTCGACATTGATCCTCATGCTGAAAACCGAACCAATATGGATTGTCACACTGGGCATCAGACGGGCACCTCATGGACAAACGAAGGACTTAGATCAATAGCACCTAAAAAGCAGATGTTAGTCTCCAGTGAATTCGTCTTAGATTTGGAGAAACATCAGCAAAATCACTGAGAAATGTCAAAGAAGAAAAACCCTGGGGTTTTTTTCCTTGCTATTCTGCTTAGGAGCAGATAGGGGATTCTTGAACAAACCATCCCTTTTCATCTCTTGGCTGCCACTGAAGGCCTGGAGCAAACCAGTTGGATTTTGAGATAGATGAGCAGTGAGCAAAGACCTTTTTTTATCTAGAAATCCAACCATAGCCTTTAGACTTTTCCTTAGCTCCGCTGGCTGCCCACTGGCAGCTGATCCATGGACTATAGCTTTTTTGCTCAGCACAAAACTGATGAAGCACCTGTCTGAGCTGAAAGGTAGGTGCTGAGAGGCATCAGAGCCCTTAACTCACCCTGAAGGTGAGCAAAGGTGGATCCCCCTCCCTGGAAACCGCTTGGTCAGTTAGAGCAATCTACACAGCCAGTACACCACCCCAGTGCAACTGGCTTCTGGCACAGACTCATCCCATGTCCATCTGCTGCCATCACTGCAGACATTTTCTAATTTTTAACTAAGGAGACTAACTTACCCCAATTAATTTATCCCGATCTAGAAATTCCACTTAGTCTCTCTTGCAAAGTGCCCACAGATTGATGTTGCACCCGTGTCAGCTGCAGAATCATTTGTCAGCAGTTTTTCATCAGAAAAATACCATTTCACACAAAACACCATTTGTCTTACTCAGTTTGCACTCAGTGCCCACAGGCATACATGACACTTTTTGGAACCAGCTTCCCACTTCTACCATCCCTTGGTCAACCGCCCATGGACATCACTGGAAAGAAATTATGTCATCACAAGGAAGTGAGGGGGAAAAAAAGCACTTAGGAAGGAATCGATTAAAATTTAACCAAAGGCTTCAAGATCAGGACTTGTGTAGAGAGAAACAGGCTTCCAATAAGAATGTAAGTAATTTTATAACAGGTTTTTTTCTTTGATTTTTAATGCTAGTGGTAGAAAAAGGATGTTGTTTCTGCCAAGATCTCTTCTGCTTTGAGCCCTCAGATTTTTCAGGACTCTCCCCCAGCAGGTCCATGCTGTCAGACTGGTGCCACTGGAAACAATCCTTATGGATATATCACATGCCCATATCACTTTCCCAATGTTTGGAAGTGCCACAGGTGGTGTTATCCCACAGGCATGAATTTGTGTCAAGCTCAGGGTTTATTCCTTCTTGTGGAAGAGGCTTGGTGAGGTCTCATTGCTGGGTTCAGGCATGACTTGAATCTTTTGGTTTTTGAGGGCAGCTTCCCTCATCTTGTAATACATGAACTCGTTCTGCTGGAACATGCGCAGCTCCATCTCCGTCTGGACACGCATGACCTGAGGGGTGCAACAGGTTACAACACCTGTGACACAGGGGATCTCAAAGCAAGTGAATAACACACAGCCTAAAAATAGTGACCATCCTTCAGGGATGTCCTAGGCCACGTAATGACTGATGCACCTCTAGGTGTCCCACCAGCAGGACCAGAGCTGACTGGACACAGATATCCAGTTACTTTCTCAAACCTGGTTGCCTGTGTACTGTGAAGGCGAAGAAGGCATCAACCCTTCCTGCACCCAGCTCTTCCACAGGCTGCTGGGAAGTCGCACACTCCCAAACCTGATGCAGAACCTAGAGGTGATGCTGTGCAGAGCCAAGGAGTGAGTGTGCTTCCCATCCACAGCCTGGGCCTGACCCTTGGTGTGACCCATCACTGGGGTGGGGGTCACCTCATGTGGGAGGGAGTAGGGGAGGAGGAGAGGGATGCTCAGCCCCTCTTTGACCACATCACAGTTGCACCCCCTGCATTCCAGGATTCACCGGAGCAGAGTCATTCCTAGTGCTGCATTATAGCAGAGGCTCAGAAGGGATTTTAGGAAATCCTTTTACACCTATCTGTGAGTTTATTCAGCCCTTGGTTTAGGAGCACAGAGATAAGCATGTGCCATGTATCCACTATTTTCCTTCTAAAGTAAGTGGGAAGGGAAATACAGAAATGGAGGTGCTGGGGTCTCACCTTCTGCTATATATAAGGAAACAGTCAACAGGCACGTTGGCTTTAGGTACTAGATACTCATCACATACATGATGATATACAATTGCACTAATAAAGGTTATAGCTCTGCTATAATGGGGACTAAGACATCAACAAAGGATTTCATTTGGTATCATGTAATTTTTTTGGCCAATAAAGGAGAATGCTGTCAAGCCAACAGGTCACATCAGGTCAGTTAAAGGCTAAAGAAATTATAGATCCCCAGCTGCAGTTGTAAAAAGTTCATCATATCTGAGCAGATGTACTTCCCTGGGATCTGCAGCTCTTGACTCTAAGCTAGGAAATACACCTACCAGTCATTTGAGGAAAAAGTACTTTCCAGTTTAGAAGGACTGGGGAGTGGCGAATAAAGAAGAATGGACACCGATAATCAGTTTGTAAACTGGGAACAATCACCATATGTCATTTGATATAATCAAATTGTAATGCCATCCACCTAAGAGCAGTGAAATTGGGCTGTCTGAAGAATGAGAGGTTCTGTCCTTGGGCACAGCAGTTTCAAAGACAATTCAGGGGCTCAGCAGTCATTTTTAATGTATGTCGTGGTGCAGGATAAAAGCTATTTTTCAGGGATGAAAATTTCCTATAGGAAGGGGCATGCATTTCCCAGCAGACTGCAACATAATCTAGAGAAAACCACAGCGCTAGTAAGAAGCAGTCAGTACTTGATCACAGAATCACAGAATCACAGAGTGGTCTGGGTTGGCAGGGACCTCTGGAGATCATCTAGTCCAACCGCCCTGCCAAAGCAGATTCACCTACAGCAAGTTGATACAGCTCTCAGCTCTTAAGGATGGGCTGTTTCTATAGCTTTAATGTCATTTTGCCCAGACAGACAGTAGAGACAACACGGGAGATGACACCTACCTCCAGGTCTTTGGTAATTGGGTGAGAAGGTCCATGGGTTACCAGGAGAATGGCATAGGCTTTACAGATCAAGCCATGCCCGGCTTCAATGAGACCAGCATGCCAGTGAGTCACTCCTGCCCGCATCAGAGCCATCCCCAGCTGTGCGTTGTTGGGATGGTATATTTTCCTGGAAAAACATTGAGTAATTTTAGTTCAGGAAAGATTTGAGTTCCCAAATGTTTGTCAGTGACGTGATATGTTTGCCAAAGAGCAGACTGTTTACTCAAGTCAAGAGTCTATTGCATTCAGTGCCACTGAAATGTGCAGCCCTGCTTAGAAAGGGGCAGGCATGAGTTACACGAAAACATGAGTTATACAGGGACACGAGTTGTTGTGAAAAGAGGGTGACCGACCTGCGAACGGGGAAAGTCGGACACCTGGGTTGAAGAATGTCAAGCTCTGTCATTACACATTATTTTGGCACAAACAAGACCCAGATCGGACCCTACAGCCCAGATGGCACCAACTTAGTGCAGTGCCTGAATTGAGAATGCAACAACCACCAGCTTCTCATTCAAAGTGAGAAGAGAAATAAGTGATTCCAGAAACTCCAGAAATGTTCAACTCACCCCCTGGAGATGCATCCCTGCCTCTGAGGACTGTCAGATTACTCCCCTACGGTCAGTACTCGAGGTGGGAAACACGAAACCTGGCCTCTATATCCAAGTTTAGAAGATGAGGCAGAGTTAGAAGTTGCTTGTACTTACCTAAAAACCTGCCTTCAAGGGCTTATTTGGCATATTGAATTGGCAGATCTTAAAGGAAGGAAGGAACTTACTGCAGTCCTCACCCTGGTCTGAAAAACTGAGGAACAGGGAGGGGAAGCAATTTCCTCTGTATCATTCAATTAGCTCAGTGCCAGGGCTGGGACATGAAGTGGCTTGTCAGGCCTGCAAGCCAGGGAGGTGACTCTGTCACCTCTCTGAAAAAGAACAAAATATCACAGGCCTTTTGGGGTAGAACTGACCAAAAAGACAAGTAATGGGTATGAGATACTCTCAGCAGGTTGGTGAATGAGATGACAAAATGGGATTTTCTCTCTTCTGCATGGTTTTCACTATTTTTTAATTTTTATTTTTTTTTTGCTCTTTAGTATTCATCAGTCCTGTAGTAAAACCTCAGTAATAATAAAGTACATCATTTTTACTGTGAGGTTTGCCCTGGATGTATGTGAACTAAACCTGAATTTCTTTATTCTCACTGAGCTTTTAGCACAGGAGCTGTGTATACTAATTAGCCAAGATAAAAAAAACATGTATTACTCAAGAGTGAAGGGATATCTTGAGTGACAGCCATTTGACCTGGTTTCTCTTTTCTCTGCAACTTCTCCGTCCTGCAGGGTGAGGGGAACAGACCATCTCCCGCAGTGTCAGCCTCCCTGTCCTGCACCCAGGCACTGTGCCTTGCTACCAGGGCAGCCCTGAGATGCTTCTGAGACCAAACAAAAAGGCTAATGAAAGATGTATCCAAACCATTTGCCAGTTATAGTTTAGTAAATCAAGGTGTTTGGGAGCTTTTGTGCACTTAAGAAGGGGTCCTTCTCTGTCTGGTGATATAATCAGATCCTAATCTCAATGCCAGCACCGCTGCCCTGATGGGAGCAGACTCAGAAAATTACTTCTATAATGCATTGCTTAACATTGCACATTCACAGAGAGCTGTCAAAAATAGGGCACAGACATACAGGTAGCCGTCCACCATCCTCTTGGCATAGTCGGCTGCTTCCTCAAACATCTGGAGGTAGGAGAGCACCTCGGAGGCAATGCTGAGGATCCTCAGGAGGTAGATGTTGGTGTCCCCCAGCACAGGCTCCTGTTTCTTCAGGCACTCACGGCACAGCTTCACAACCTGTGCCCGGAGGAAGCAGTGAGGGGAAGGGAAAGTCAGAGCACTTTTGGCCCCAAAACTGCCACATCAAAGCTCTATGGGTTGCACGGTCCATACCACTCCTAGAGGCTAAGTCAGCCTCCATGAAGTTTGGGCAAGATAGGATATGCTTTGATTTGTCGAGAAACATGAGCCTAGCAAAATGATTGGTGCTCAAAGCTTTCTTTCCCAGGGTTACAGTCATAAAACTAGTGAGGAAAAAATGTTGTCCACTATTCAGGAGAAGAAAGATCCAGGAGGTTGGGTTTTGTCAGATACCGAGTGCCTACAGGACTCTTACACCCCAACGCCATCCAACCAACCTCCTATGAGCATGCAATACAATGAATGCTCTTAATGACCCCACAGGGCTGGAGACATGGAGCTGCACCGTCCCATGCCCACCTGCTCAGCTATGTCACATCTGTACCTAGCCATGACCCAATGTCCAGATTTCTGCTCTGGGGGACCTTCAGCCTTTTCTCAAAGTAAATTCAAACCCGGAGGCTGTTGCTCAACCTGGAGTGCTTTCTTGAAGTTGTTACACTCTGAAGAGAACAATTAAATATTTCCTGGATCAGCAAAAGAGGGAGAAAGGAAGAAGTGACTTGAGCTCTCTCACCATTTGCCCTTGTGGCCTGTGCTCCAGGTGGGACTTGGGTCTCCCACACCACACACCCATCCTCAGCAACCGAATAAATGAGCAACATGCAGGAGTCAGGAGGTGAAGAGGAGACCAACACAGGCAAACATAGCCCACAGCTCAACCTGGCAAGTCTCCTGACTGTCCTGTCCCTCTCCCAAACCCACTGTCTTCCTTTTTATGAGGCTACCTGGCAAAGTTGACTCATCACACTTCCCCTGTAACTCATGTTTTTCACCCAGGAGGCCCTTGGTTCAACACTTGTCTCAACTGGAGGTGCTGGACATCACCTGAATCTTCCTGTATCATCACCATGAAAGAAATCAGTCTGGGATGTTGTCTCAGACACAGTTGTGCTTTACAGAGGGCAGAAACCAGTGTCAGCTTTTGCAATTTGAGCTGCCAAGAGGGCAGGAAGCACATGGGGATATTCAGGTCACAGCAGTGGGGGTTTGTTTCATCCTTAAATCATTGGTGTAGAGAAAGACAAGACCTGCTTTCCCTGGCAGTGCGTATACAGCAAGCGAGTAAAAGTACCAGGACTCACTTCATGGTAAAGTCCTTCCATGCGGGCCTTGTTGATCTTCTCCAGCGTGTCCTTGGAGAACTGGATGACCTCCTTCACCGTCTCTGCAGAGGGCTGGGGACAATGTTAGGAAAACCAGTGAGGAAAATGCACTGCCTGACACATGCCAAAATATCCTGTCTGAAGCGATGCTTGTTCTGCGGTCTGGGAACCCAGATCAGCTCAGCGGGATGCTTCCCACATCACCCACTACCTTCCTACCACTGACTGTGGCACCGGTGTGCCTCTCAGACCTGTCCAAGACTGGGCTGAAATGGTCCCGCTACCAAGTTGAGAGGTGAAGCTCCTGCTGACTTCAGCAAGTGTTGCTCATCAGGGTAGCGGCCATGTACATCTGGTATGCATAACTGGGTTCCTTGACTCTTCCCCCCAATTCTGTCCTCTGGAAAATGGACAGAATTGACCCTGCAACAGGGAGGTCTCACGAGATGCCAAAGAGGCTGTGAAAGCCACCAGTTCATGTGTATCAAGTGCTCCTACTGCAGCTGCTTGAGAGGAATGAGGCTTTTGGATGAGAGATGGGTGGAATAAGGATAGGAAAGATCACTAAATTTTATGCACCCCGAGAAATACTGTCACTAGATCCAAACACCATAAGATGGTTGACCTCAGATTTCAGCTGCATCCAGAGAGTGAAATGTGTTTTTAACACACACCTCAAAGAAGTTTGAATTTCACCGTGTATTTGAAGACACGACGCACATCTAGGCATGCCTGGCAAAGCGCTAACCAGCTCTTAATTAGCTGCCTCCTTTTCCTTCATTTAATGTTGAAGTACAACATTATGATATCCAGTACCATCATTCATCTTCCGCTTTCCCGAGCCTTTCAAATTCGCATTTTCAAACTATTCTAGCTTTCATGACCTTCCTTTTCGTAAATGGGAAATCTGAAATCAGCCCACAATCGCGTGACTCCAGGAGCTTGCAGGAAGAGCCTGGTCTGGAGACACGCAATCGAGCCAGAGCACAGGCACATGCCCGGCAGGCAGGAAGGACATCTGGGCACGGATTAAAAGCAGAGACCCAACATTGCAAGGAAGGACACAAAGATTTGGAGTCAGGACCATAGGACTGTCCCGTTGTCTTTTTCCCACATCTGGTCAATCAAATTTTTGAGGAACCTGTGAAATTCAGCTGGGAATTTCAATTAGGAAAAGCTCTTGAAAGTTTAGTATGGATGGAATATCAGTAGCTTTTCAGAGCCATATAACCCCCATTTATTTATGGATACATATGTACGTGTTATGATTTACTATTCTATATTATTAGACTGAAGCTGTCATAGCTAATCAGATTTTGGCAGCCGTTTGAGCAGCACACAGGGCGTCCCAGTGCACAGAGCACATTCAAAGGCAATGTTAACATCAGTGCAAATCGCATTGCTATGCTGTCTGAGTAACGACTCCCAGAATAAGTACTTTAAACAGCATTTCCACAGCGGCTTTGTCTAATAAAAATCCTCTCTTGCATTTACTACACCCCTAAGTCTGTTGCCATTATAAACAATGGGAACTTTGCTACTATTTGGAAGGGCTGAAGGACTGGAGGTCGCAGCTGCTGTTGAGGATGTAAGCTGTCAATCTTACATATATTCATAGCGCTTTTTCCACGCAGCTGTGAGCATTGCTGCTCTCAGGCAAGTGAGCTTGAATTCAGAAAATGTGATACAGCTGGCAGCGAGCAGACGTGTTCTGTGGGTGAAGTCAGTCTGGATACTTATTGTCTGAGGATGGAGTGTATTTTTAATAGCTGAAATCATGCACCTTGCATAGTTCCAGGCTTTTTCTATACAAACAGTTCAGATTGTGGAGGACATTTACCCAAAAGTGCATGTCTTCCAGTTGCGTGCTGCAGAGCACCTCTAATACTCACAAAAAGGGGATGGTGCATCTCACCATTTGGTCAAGATTTGATAGCAGATGTTGAATGTGAGCTAGGATTTTTTTTATGCTGTCCACTGCAGGAGGTGTTCAAAAATACTTCTACAGAAAATCAGATAAAGATGCTTCTGCATCAGAGGACTGAGCTCTGGGACAGCTTTACATCAGAAGCGTGGAGTTTCAGTAGTCAGGATTAGCTTTAAGACGAAGCTGGGTAATTTAGTGATGCAATTATATAGCAAGGTCTTTTGCACTAGAGGAGAACTTGACCCAGCAAGCAAAGGGTGTCCTCTAGTCCCATGTCCTGTCTCCCATGGGAGTTCCCTGATATCAGTTCAATCCCATTTCTCCAAACCTTTCTCAAGGAGAGACTTATAGTCTGCAACAACCAGCCTTTCCTGACTGCCACCTATATGAAAGAAGGGTCATAGGACTGAGTTTGGCTTTCTGGTAACTGCTGAGCTGGAGGCTGGGGGTTTTGTACTCCACTTTCGCAGGAGCTGGGTCTCTCCTGGTAGCAGTGCTGGTCTGAGGTCACGGTTTCTCATCCCACCTTTGCTGTTTGGTCCTGCCCCACATCAGCCCCTGAGCTGAACTCTTTGATTTATCATGTGACTGACTAATAGCGCAGATCAATGACTTGATAATACACTAAATTGCCCTGCCTTGATGTGCCTTCCCTTATACACTTTGTAAAGCTTGCAGGAGTAGAACCCCCCTAAGCTAACACTGCCACAAAGGACAAAAAATACAAGCAATTATGTCCTTGGGCAGAGGAGGCAAAAAGAAACTCTTAGAGCTACCAGCATGCTGGTAAACTGGGGCCACTGGCCAAGCAACACATCCCACTGCCGACAGCAAGACACAGCTTTACACCCTCCCACTCTTTGACTTGTAAGACCTCCAAGGAAAACGCAGATTACTTAAAAATGAACAGTCAAACATGTGAATTCTTCACAGTCAGTCTGCCCACAGCAACCACGCACAAATGCCAAGCAATGGGTACAAACTCCCTGTGACAGGCCTTTGCAAGGAAGGACTGGAAGTTCAGGCTTCCCACCTTCCTGGAGCTGGTGTGATGGTACACATTCTACAAACTGTACAGCTTCATCAACACTTGTTAGTCCTGTCACCACGAATCACCGCCAACACATTTTCCTTTCTGCTGTGCAAAACTTTGATTCCCTTTCAGTTCCTCCAGAAAAAAGCCACAGTCTAAATGCCAGCATTTTCCTCAGCTCTAGATCTAATTTTCCAGTATCTTAGCATTCTGCCTGTTGGTGGACTTTTAGGTTAAAGGCAAGATTTGTGAGCTTTTTTAAGTTAAAAACTGCACTTACGTTACATAATAGGGATTAAACTGGCCTTGCATGGTGGGCTTGAATTGGTGTTATGCTCAATCAAGGTTCAGTCTGTTCTCATTTTTTACATTGTCACTAGCCAGGCTTCTGCCAAAATCTGACTCTGTTGCGATTGAGAGTGTCCCCCGGCTGAGGAACCATAGTCACAGAGACACAGAGATGCCTTGGTGGAAGAGACGCAGTGGTCTCTGGGTTTGGACATAGCAGGACAAACCATACCTTTCTCTCGCCCTCCTTCACCGCCAGCATCAGGTCATCCTTGATCTGCTTCTTGCAGTGCTCGCAGGTGCAGTCGAAGTAATACTGCTTCTTCAGCTGTTTCCGTCGCTCCTCGCTCACGTTGAGGAAATCCACGTAGGAAACAGTCAGCTCGTCCCCTGGAGATATTTTGCTCAGTGCCCGCAGCTCGATCCTGAGTGCAAAGGAGATGAGATGTGGACTTGGAGAAGCAGCAGAAGCAAAGGTGCAGCCCTAGAGCCATCAGGGACAAATCCTGTGACCTTGCCTTGCAGAGAGGAGCCCTTGCCCTACAACAACTGCTTCAGGGAGGCAATGCAGAGACGGGCAGCAGTCTGGTTAACTGAATATAGAGTAAAAACACGGTCACACCAGTTTCTCCTGCCCCTCTGCAAGTCCCTGGCAGGCATACGTAAGGGTCTGAGCTATTAACAGATTATGGTTCCATTACTTTATGTGGGTGGGGGCTGAACCTAAACAATTTTTAGTATCTTGCAGGAGCTCTCACCAGAAGAAAACCCTGAGATCAGAAATACCCAACAAGCCTTGCAAAATGCTGAGTTTGGACTTTGGGTCTTTTTTTAAGTACCTCTTTGCATGCTATCCGCACAGCCCTGGCTAGACGCCCAGATCCCGAGCTGTGCTGCTTTTGGTATCATTTTCACTCCAAAAAGTTAAGACAAACTCCCTCTGGGTGCTGGGTGAGAGACGCCCTCACCCTGTTCATGCATCTCTACCTATAGGCTTAGAAACAGTTCTCTGGAAATAGTCTATTTTTTAACAGCTCATTTGATCTGATGCCTATTGCTAGTATAAATGACAATTCAATTGCCAGTCTCTGTTACTAAACCAAAATCGACCGCAAGCCCTTGATGACAGGCTTTTGGAAAGCCAGACCTTTGCACCTGCCTTTCTCTCATGTCGTTCCCTGCAAAAGGTCTTAAATAATGTAGACACTCAAAACTATTCCCTTGCTGTTTCACTCTACACGCCAAATCTCCCAGTTACTGTGGGCCATCTCTCAGTTGCAGAGGCCAGACAGGCACAACTGGCTGAAGAATTTGGCCAGAACAGGAAAGATCTCCATCAAATACCAATTGTGCGGTGGTGTTTCTGTATCCATCTACTCCCCATCTACTAGTGACTCCACACATGGCTAGAAATAATTCATTACACTTGAGACCGGTGACCTTGGGCTCTCCACTCAGACCAGTTAGTTGGTTAAACATATTTTTGCAGGTAGGCATACTTACGGGTTATCAAAATGAAGCCAGTCCCATGGTCTGAGCTCCCACCCTATGGTTGCACTACAGCGTGGTACCATCAGTCCTGGGACTCCCTCACCATGGGCAGCGTGCCTTGATCATCCTCCTGTTGAGCTCAACAGCGTGTTCCATGTACACGCCTGCTACGAGACGGACCTGGGGGGGACCTGCTGGCTCCCACCTGAACATGAGGTGCTTTAGATGGGACCCAATGAAGATCTCACCAAAGGCATAGGTGGCATAGGACTCCAAGGTCTCACTAGGCGCATTAAAAATAAGTCTTTTGGGGAGGACACGACTTTTTCTGTGTGATCATATTTCTGCAAAGGGATTGTAATTCTCTTGTAATTCCCTTTTAATTCCCTTGTAATTCCCGTTACAAGCTCTCAGCACCAAGGGCATAGCTCTGAGCCTTTTGGCTGTGCTAAAGCTGCTGTGAAAACTACTCGCTGAGGCTGGTCTTGACCTTCTGTAGGTGTTAGATCATGTCAACAGCGTATTTCGTACAAAATTTATCACTAAACATGCCATCATCACGAAGGGCAGCTATTAGTTATGTTGCAACCATGGGAAAATGCCAGCCAGAGAAAGGTGCAACCCGCTACTCCAGGAGAAAGTGCATGAAAAAAGAACAATTCCCATCCGAAAAGTTTACACATATAAACATTCCTGTTCACACTTAACGGGATCCTCGTTAAAATGAGTCATGCAACCAGAGAAGCAAAATCAAGCCTTTGACTTTTATGATGCCCCTGATAGCCTAAGCACTGTAGGTATATTTTAAGCAGCCATCCCTTGTGTGGAGGGGATTGATAGCATTTGGGATAAGCCTGGAAACACATGGCATATTTTAAATGCTATAGTTAAAGAGACACTGGCAGCAGAGAGCACCTCACCAAGCTTGTCCCTTGCTCTTTCCCCAGTGTCTGCCCCAAGCACCGAGGACCTTGAAAAACAGATGCACAGGCACAGCGAGTGCCTGAGAACTCAAAACACAAATTGTCCCAAAACAGCAACTCTCATCAGAAGTGAAACTCATTTGCCCTTTTTTATGGTCCTATCTATAATGCACCAAGTAAGTGTCAATGGTGAAGAAGAGCACTTCAAAGGTATTTCACATCTTATTTGAGGAAATTGTGTGTTTGTTTGAAATTAAAGATGTGTCCCTTTAACGGGACTGACTATAATATACCAAGTGCAGTGAGCTAGGCAGAGAACTTTTCTTTTGCATATATTTTCATGATTTCTTTACTTTGGATCAGGTAACAGTGGCATCATTAAAAGGTAAAACATTAATCAGGTATTATGAGAAAAAAGGATGAAATCTGCATCTCACAGTACTGCTACTGTAGGCAACACATTCAATGGGCACCGTTTGTTGCAGAAGAAACGTGGACTATTTAGTATGTCAGTAATGCAATCATTTCTCATCTCCTAATACGCAAAGTTTTATTTTGGGCTGTACAAGATTAGCGAGACCTTGTTCTGACTTTCAGCCTCTTGCCGTAGTCAGGGGAGGAGAAATGAGAAGTGGAGAGGGGAAATACTGACAGGGAGGAAGCCAAGGGAGAGGGTGGGAAGGCAGACAGGGAATTTGTCGTGGGAGAGACAGTCACAGTATTACCACTATTGTTTTAATTTACTACAAAATGCAGAGTTAAGTGAGGTTTGGGTTTAGTGGGGCTTTACATGGGGGAGGAGAAGAAGTTCAGAAAATGGGGAAAGTGAAATTTTTTTTGCAAACAGAGGAAGCCCCTTGGGCTGTTTGCAGCTTTTCCATTAAACAAGGGGTACAGGGCAAGGGGGGAGGATGATGCTTTCAAGACCGACCCACCTCATCTGTGTGTGGAACATTGATCTTACAGCCTCATGACTGAAAGACAAAACAAACATCTGCAGTTTACACAGGTACAAGTAAAACAGAAAAAAAAAAAAAAAAGGGTACATGGTGTAGAGCATCGGGACATCATCCTGATGGGAGATAAGGGGGTTCCCTGTGCCTGGCTCATGTTTCACTGCATGAATGCTTTGCTTTTGCTACGCAGCTGCCATAACCGATTTGGCAAAGTGTCCTGACACTGTGATTTTAGGAGCGGTCTCAGCCAGGGGATGTGCAAAACCCACTTCTGATGTTTGGCAGGCACAAGACAGCTAGTTCTGCACAGAAACGTCTTCACTGACATCAGTAGTTGTGCTCTCTAAAACACAGCTTGAAATGGAAGTCAGACTGGGATATCAGCAAGAAGGACTGTGCTCTGTGTGATGAGTTTAGCGGGTCCTCAAGTCCAGTATTGTGCCTTGAATCCTGTTAGAGAGCTCAGTTCCCACAACAGGGGCTTATCATGAGGTGTCCATAGAAAGACAAGAAACCTTCATAATTTACCTGGCCAATAACCAGATGGTCAAGTTCAAAGTCAGGAACAGGATACACGTGGGAGCTTTGACAAGCTGCCAGGCAAACAAAATGCCATTCCTCTACTTACCACCCAGAAACTCAGACTTCAGGGTTGCTATCACTGCTAGTTACCTCCTCCACTTCCCAGGCTGGTTGAAGAGGCTCTCCATCATCCCACTATGGATCTGATCCAGGGTATTTGGATATCAGAGCACAGACTCCAATCTGACTTTGGATCAGACCCTATTTCCCACCAAGGTAATCATCGTAATGCAGTTTTGTTTTCTCTTTGCTCGCTTATGAGCTGCTTGGTAAACGCTGGTATAGTTCTACCATGTAAAACCAGCAGCAATAACTGGAGTGCACAAGCAACGTGTTAGTTAAAGAAAGGGAGGCTGGGGAGAAGTTAACTTATAGCACTAAAGTTTGGTGAACATGGGAATTTTTAAAATCTTAGCGGAAAATTTGGATGAAATACTGTGGCAGTGCAGTTTTTGTGCAGTTTTTGGCAAGTAGTTTCCCACAGTTCATGTCTTGCACATGGTGCAACTTGCTGGATCAGCAGCAGTTTCTACCTGTTACAGCCTGGAGGCTGGGAAGGGCAGAGCATCCCTCCCGTGGGCTGCTCTGAGCACTGAGAGCAGCAGCCTCCACTCCCAGCTCTCTTCAAACATCCCTGCATTCCCCACTTAATCTCTTTCCATCTCACAGGTCCTGCAGAAGTTTTCTTACAGGACTTGGATGGGAATGAGGAATGCCCAGCGGCTTAGGGCATCCTGCACTCACACATGACTTGGTTTGTAGATAACAGTCACAATTGTCATTAAGATCCCATTACTAAAGAGTTAATCAGTGATTAATTCTCTTCAAACATCCCTGCATTCCCCACTTAATCTCTTTCCATCTCACAGGTCCTGCAGAAGTTTTCTTACAGGACTTGGATGGGAATGAGGAATGCCCAGCGGCTTAGGGCATCCTGCACTCACACATGACTTGGTTTGTAGATAACAGTCACAATTGTCATTAAGATCCCATTACTAAAGAGTTAATCAGTGATTAATAGAGATGGTACACTCTCACAAAGATGAGGGTTGTGTTAGGAATGGTTATAAACACATCAGCAGATAGTGATACACAGCTGATTGCAAGCTTCGGTTATGAGAAACTCCTGGACTGTGGACTTGGTATAATCTTTAATAATTTATTAACCATAATTGTTCCTTAACTATTTATAAATAATATAA